CTTATTATTGAGATCTTTATGATCAGTTATTTTTTTTAAATTTTAATTTGTCATATATGATGGTATTCATATCGTCAATATAACCGCTCTTATTAAGAAGAACAACTCTTGAACCCTTCTCAGGTTTCGTAATCAATGACGTCTCATCCTTTAGGAGTAGGTTAGTAGCTTCCTTGTGCTTCTTTGTACTGAGATCTCGTTAAATCGAGTTATTTTTGTATCGATATAACTAATTACCTTCTGATGCAAATAAAAGGGAACGATTTCATTCTAATTTAAGACATTCTAGTTCTATATAATTTTTAAAATTAAACACATCTTGCCTCACCAGTGTTGCTGATCATTGATTCACCGTACAGATAAGTTGTTGCTGAAGTGGATTTGAGAAAATGTAAGTATGATTGTAGCCACAATAACGTCTGTCCGAATATCGTTTCATTAGCCATGACATAATACGACAAGCTGAAAAGGATTGGACAATACACTATTTGGAGAAAGCTTCGCTCAAAACCAGCCAATCTCCTTGAAACGATCATCATCAGTAATGGACAATGATTGAAACATAAATAACGTTGACCCTGACTTACACGATCTTCTAAGGATGTTTATGTGAAATAGAAACAGATAGTACAAGTGTATTTTTCCAAGGACTGAGATCTATGTGGCTTCAACTTTGAAAAACAATCTTTATGACTACAAAGTTTACATCATGTACTGATCATAGTGAAACAACTGTTAAGAATTCGGAATGCAGCGTGTTAGTTTGCCTTATATATTACATTAGTTTCCTCTAAACAAGTCTTTGATCATTACACAAGGTGAAACCTTTTATTTACAAATCATTAGCTGAAGGTGTAATATTGATAAACTTAATAATAAAATGATGATAAGCTAGCGAGATTTAGTACACATGATACTATAGACTTAACTGGTCAAAGACACGAGGGGTTATTTACTTACTTGTACCTGTTACGCATTATCAAGCATAGGTCGTCAACCAGGATTTCTCAACCAACTCTATCCTTGATAATCCTTTCTACTTACTTTGAGTTGCCATTCATCCTTGTGATGTCCACCTCCAATTTCCCACCCAATGTATTCCTTGGTATTTCGCTTTACCGTTTCCCTTCAGGATTATAAGTTAGCGCTTGCCTCGTGATGCGGTCTGATGATTTATGCAATTTATGTCCTATCCACTTACAACGTCTTCTCATAATTTCCTCTTCACATGGAAGCTGATTTGTTTTCTGTCTTTGAACGTTGTTGCTGACGTTATCCGGTCAACGGTTTTTGAGTATTTTGTGTAGACAGTTGTCTGTAAATACTTGTACATATTTGATGATGGTTGTCGTAATTGTCGAAGTCTCAGCTCTGTGCAGTGAACTGTTTTGAGGTTCGTATTGAAAATTCTGACTTTTATGTCTGCCGAATTTTGTTTTGAGTTTCATTGTACTTCAATTGAAGGAATGGTGTCATTGATTTGTCAATACTTGCCTTTAAGTCTGCATCCGATCCCGCTTGTTCATCGACGATACTGACCAGGTGCGTGAAACTTACCACCTCTTCCAACACTTATCTGTCGAGGATGACTTGGTCTCTGTTCACTGTGTAATTTTTCAGGATCTCGCTTTTGTCCTTTCCTTGTGTATGTTGAGGTCTACTACTGCACAGGCTGCTGCCTTACTGACTGTCTTCACCTTCATTTGTCATTGTGTATGGGATAGAACAGTTAGGTCATCTGAGAAGTCCAAATCGTCTAGCTGCATTCAAACTGTTCACTGTATTCCGTGCTTCCCCTCAGATGTAGATAAGAAAGAGAAAGTGAGAGAATAATCAGTCTTGTCTGACACTGGTCTTCATTCCGAATGCATCTATCAGCGGCTGTGTATATACGACCTTGCATTGCAGTCCGTCATAAGAATTCTGTATGATGTTGAGGACGATACCATGGTGCTATGGGAGGTTGCATGAGATTCTCGTATTCACACTGTCAAATGCTTTCTCATAGTCAGGTAAGTTGATGCATAGTGACGATTTCCATTCAACTGATTGTTCAACGATGATCCGCAGTGTTGTAAGTAGGTTGGTAGACGACCGAGATAAAAACAATTGGAAAGTCAGTGCTGCTCAGATGTCCGGTGTTTTCAGTGTTCTCTAACCAGTCCCACTGTTTTTTGAACCTCAATTATTGGCTTGCTTTCTTCGTTCTTGAGTGAAGCTTCTAAATTTCTGAGCAGTCATCCCTGTTAAATAATGCAACATTTATTCTGTTTACCTACTTGGTTTTGACCAAACAAGTAGTATTACTTCTATTAATGTGTTTTACTTACGCCTGTTACCCCTCAAGGAGCATAGGCCGCCCACCAAAATTTGCCACCAGCCCAACACATACTATTTACAATTATAATATTAGTTCGAAGTTAATCAAACGGATTTGTCTCGGATAAATAAGTTAGTACATAAATACACTTAATTCAATTGGTATTGTTTGTTTGCATCTTCCCATTGTTGTTTTGGACTGCAATTGATCAGGACGCGCATTTCGTCCTATATGGGACTCGTCACCTGATAGCCACAATCCATACTTGCTTATTAAGCTTGTGAATTAAAGTAATATGAAGGCATAGGATGCACATATATACCAAAGAGAGACTGATCAATTGCAACCCTAAAAAACACTGGGACGATACACGTAAACAATACCAAGTGAATTAAACTACACCCCATTGCACAAGTAGGTGGCTACCAGTACTCAGTAACGAAGTGGATAACGCAATGGCGTTAGAAGCGAACGGTTCTGGGTTCGAGTCGCAGAGTGAACATCAACTCTGGAATGCAAGTATATACAGCTGACGAGTCCCAAAGAGAATGAATTTCGCGTTGTGGATACCACTGCTGGCAACTATCCATCTCACTAAAAACACTAATTTGAGACAAACAAAAGTAATTTTCACAAATCCACTCCAACACACGGAGCACTTGTAAGTGATACAAAAATAAGAATGTTGATTGTAAGCGTCTAATACATTTTCTGAGGCTGACCACTATGAAAACCGGTAGCCGTTGGTTTAAACGGTTCAAAATTGGTTACGCGTGAATCTACTCATCTCCCGTTTATATTTTTCGTTCTCAGTATTACTGCGACTGTTTTCCTTCCATTCATTAATCTTTAATATCCCATAGTCCTCAGTATCATTGCTAATACTACTTTTTTCTAGTTTTACTAACTTCGTCTCTTCGTGAAAAGGTCTGACAACTTAGGTTAACACAGACCTGTTAGGTTTTAGACTACTTATCGTTGACAGAATTTTATTTAGACTTGGGGTTTTAATCCCAGAGTACAGTAAAGATAATGACAGTTATACATCGTGTAAACGACCAAAGCATTCATCCTTAGAAAAGTGTTGCAACGCAGAAGACTGTACGCAAAATCCTATGGCAAAGCTTCACAGACTCTGAAACAACCCGTCAGCAGAAACTACAGGTATCCACGCTAGGTCTTACTACACTCAACATCATCACCTGAGTGGCGACATACATCAAGAACGAATAATCATCGGACCGTCCTAACTCCATACAGATTTGTGTACCCCGCTTCGAACAAATGGCGTGAGAACCGTCGAGTAGACTGGATTACATGAAGCCTAGTACTCGTAGCCGAGCGTTAAACACTATGTTCATTGGAAAGAAAATCACAAACCAACCTCGTAATACGGTAGTCAATACAGTCGAAGATTTATAAACACTTTAGTTTTCAACCTTTCTCTACTAAACCCCGTTACATTCAATAACCATACGACTTCCAGCTGGATTTCTTACTGGCAGACTCGATACCGACATAAGCCATCAAACCACGTTACCGGGAGAGATCTAGATACCACTGTGTTGTCTCCAGACGATTTTACCACCAATCCTGACTACTACTGTACATCGTTTGATCGATGGCTGATATTTCAGGACAACCAAAAAACCGATTCTGTGAATCCGGTTTATGCCCTTGTGTCTGGACATACTAAGTGGATTAGTCTTGTATAAAGCCACTCTAGACGAAAACATTGAGACGTAAATGACGGCGGATAAATAGACGTAGACGAAGCTGCTTATCTTATTGCGGATGAGCCATGCACCAAGAGGCGCGTAAATGGATCCGCAGGACCTTCAGACTAAGTACAGTTGAAATAGAAACACTACTGTGGAGATTTACTCTCGAAGTCCTGATGCTTAGAGATTGACAGTGTTAATCGCCACAGTTCTGGATAACCGAGTGTTATAAGTCACTACAAGTGGGGTGGCTGAGACATGTGAATGCCGTGTAAATGAATTGACGATGGTAGTGATAAGTCATGCTCGAACGAAACTACCACAGAACTGAATGAAGTACTCAATCAAAGCCCAGTGACGATAACAAGTGGGTCTACTCTAAGAGCAGAGACTACATCTGACCTGGGTGATCAAAGACCGCATGTCGGCAATGGGAAATGCAATAACAGCCAGAAGCACAGCTGAATTACATCGGAACTACGGAAGATTACCGAAAATAATGGCGGTACTAAGTAACTTAGTAAAGGTTGAAGCTAGGATGAACAGTTCTGTCTATTGAGGTGTACAAGTGAAGCTATTTCACACACTGAATGTAAACGTTCCAAGTTATCTACGACATACTACGTAGAATACTAAAAATCGCCATAATACTAGTAACCATAATGTGGTTCTTGTGAGCTTTATTTGCCTGAATTGTCTTATAGTGAAGTTTTTATCGTCAATCATAATAACAATAGAAGACCAATACTTTGCTTAGACAACAACTTCAAATCATTCATTTGTTAACAGATATCTACTATCCCAAGTCAAATATAAAGAGATTAGTATGGATCACCGACATCAACAAGCGACGGAAGACAACCGGTGCACGTTGATAAAAGAAAAAGATACTGCAACGACGATTTTATATACGCCAAATAAGTTTCATAGATTATAACATACATATGTAATAAAGATATTTAACATTCTCCACAATCTTCGATTATAATTTTCTTGGACGGCTTTCCACTTGTGGAACCTAAACTCTCCATTTTCTTCACCACGTCTATGCCACTGACGACTTTACCGAAAACAACATGTTTGCCGTCAAGCCACGAACAAGGGACAGTAGTAATAAAGAATTGCGAACCATTGGTGTTAGGTCCCGCATTGGCCATTGAAAGTGAGAACGCTTCGTGTTTGTGATTGAAGTTCTCATCTTTGAATTTATTTCCGTATATACTTTTTCCACCCGTGCCATCGCCATTGGTGAAATCGCCACCCTGACACATGAAGCCTGGAATTATTCGGTGGAAAACGGAACCTTTGTAACCAAAATTATTCTTGTGAGTGCATAACTCGCGAAAGTTTCTAGTAGTATCTGGAACATCATTGAATAGCTGAGAAATAATGCTTTGAGTAAGACTATAATTACCTCAAATATAATCCTCCCCAATCGTTCATCACCGGCCTTAATATCGAAAAACGCTTTCGCAGCCATTTTTGAAATGGATGGTCACCACCGGTCAATTTAGCTGAACATGCAAACAGTGGTTATCGATACAAACAACCAATGAATTGGACATTGTGTATTGTATGTTCAAAGTTGTTTCTGATGCTTATCTATGCATTAAGCGCTTGCCTAGTGATGCGGGTTGATGATTTTCTCAATTTCTGTCATATACACTTCCAACGTCTCCTATTTTCCTCTTCAGCTGGAAGCTGGTTTGTCCTCTCCCGTAAAACGCTGTTGCTAATGTTATCCTGCCAACGGACATTGAGTATCTTGCATAGACAATCATTTATAAATACTTGTATCTTCCTGACGATGGTTCATAACCTGATCAGCCAAATAATCAGTCGGTTTAAAATCTTACTAGTCAAAAACGCTTGGGTTGAAGTTCTGTTTGTTGGACGTCTACATACTCACCATAGCTAGATTATACAACAGTGTTATGGTCAGAACAATCGGAAGTCCGTTTCCGGTTCATTAATTGTTGTCATTGTAGACCCTGTAACACCTTGAACCAGTAAAAACTTCACTTTAACCTTGGTAGACAAGTTATTGACAGATTCTGACAGATGCATTCCCAGTAAGTACTGGAGACAGACAAGGCAGTTTACTCTCCCCCTTTCTCTTTCTTCTAGTGGTTGACTAGATTGTGAAAACCTCGACATCTGAGGGGAAGCACGGAATACATACCTTTCGTCAGTTCACTGTAAGTTTCAAATTGTTGGGGACGGCATAGAAGAAGCTTTCGCTTAACGGGCTTCCGTGTCTAGTAGCAGTGGATTAATAATACCTCCAGGCAAGAACCTTGGTATAATAACGATAACAGAGGAAAAAAGAAATTGGTAAATCATAATAAAATGTTATCCTTAGTTATTAAGAATAGGTCTAGTTTCCTCCTTAAGGACTCCTGCGATGTCGCTTGGACTAGCTCAATCGGCAGCGAATTCCAGCATTCGACAACTCTTACTGAGTAGAAGTTGTGTCTGCAGTCCGTTCTGCTATGTTGGGTCTCCGGTTTCTGTGTGTTACCCCTTAGGATAGTATTGTGACTAAGCTTAAGTAGATGTTTAAGGGGATGACCAGAATTGTTAAGGATACTGTCACCTCTAAGATGCCTATACTCTAACGGGTAAAGGTTAATTGATTGAATGCGCTCTTCATAAAGTTTGAATTTGAGTCCCCAAACTGATTTCGTGGCTCAACGTTGGATACGTTCCACAGTGTCCTTATCCTTTTGGAATGAGGGAGGAAATACTATATTTCCCAACTGTTGAAGATTATATGGAGAGTTCTACCGACAAATTGGCCAAAAAGCGCTTCGATGTTAAAGGTGTAAGATTTGCTTGAAAGGCATCTTTGTCACAGTTAGCGTACGACTTCTAGTTGTAGGGTTACAACACTCCTAATTCATTTTCGACTTGGGAAACCTCTATGGAGGAGTTTCCAAAGTTGTAGTTGTAGTCCGCAACATGTCTCAGATGAACTACTTAACATTTTGAAATGTTAGAGGCAAGTCCGTTTTCGTCTGCCTAGTACTGAAGTCGAGTAAGATCCTCTTGAAGCGCCGGTATATCCTCTTGGTTGAGCATCTCTCTCCAAAGTTTCATATCGTCAGCAGAAAGAAATAAGTCAGACGACACTTCCTTTGGAAGGTCACTTATATAAATCACGAAGAGAAGAGGTCCTAGTATTGAGCCCTGAGGGAACCCATCAGGAAATTCCGTAGCCTGAGAGAGAGAGTGAAGCTAACTCTGACCTTAAAATGTCAGTTTTCTAGATATGAAGTGAGCCAGTCGATCAGAGGGGTTATGATACTCAATCGTCTAAGCTTGGTGATAAGACATGTAATTGATCCTATCAAAAGCTTTGGGTAAATCAAAGTAAATAACGTCAACCTTCCCCTTACGATCAAAGATGCTTGTCCATCTGTCCACCGCAATCAGCAGGTTGGTTATGCAAGTGTGACTCTTCCTGAAACCATGCTGCTGGGGTGAGAACTTTAGGGATATTAAGTATTCGTGTATACCATCGCATATCAGGTAATCCATAATTTTACAGCGTATGGAGAGAAGTGTCATCGGTCGGTAGCTTGAGAGTTCGCTGAGTCAACCTCCTTTGAAAATTAGTGTGATGTGAGCCAGCTCCCAAATTTCCGGTAGCTTGCCTCAGCTTGGGGAGTGTGAAAACTTCACGATAGGTGGTGTGGCTAGAATTGTAGCTATTTCCTTCAGTATAGCGGAATAAACCATATCCGGATCAAGAGAAGTGTCTTTTCTTATGTGCTGTTGTTTACGGAACACCAGGTCAACGCTCAGGTCCACTTTAGAAGGTCCTGTGTTGGTGCAGGTAAAGCTTTCATCAGTGTAGTTGATGTGGGTCGATTGAAATGTTCGATAGTACTGTTCAGCCAAAAGATTAGCGGCACCACCGTCGTTATCAGTCGGACCATTAGGACCCAGTATTTGGGAAACTTCAGTTTTGGCTTGTGGATTACCGTGATTACCGTGCAATACTCGGAATGTTCAGCTTGGACGTTGGCGCAAGGTCCTTTTTAACTCTGTTAACGTGGGTATAATAACCTACAGAGCTTTTGGGAACCACCGTTGCATTCAAGGACTCTGTGCTGGGCGACCCAAGTTTATTAAGGGAGTCTAATACCGTCGACGTTATGATGGTGCTGAGTTTCAGAATGTCATCACTACTGCTATTACCTGCTTCATTGATAGTAGACCTATCGATACCCCTCTTCTTAATTACACTGCGCTTTCCTGTGTTTTCTACCGGTTGTATGACTGTCACTTACCAAGTTTTTAGTCTTGTTCCTCAGATCTGTTAGTAGGGCAATGGTGTTACTCAGCAAAACTACGGTATCCGTGTTGCACATAACGCATACCCACCTACGATGCGACTTGCTGAGTCTACTATAGAGAGTTGCTGTTAGATCTGTACACGCTTCGTGGAACCGACCTTTGCAGTTGTCGCACTGCGTGCTATATGTAACAACAAAAAGGCAACCAGGTCATTTGCATGAATTTCTCATGACTATTGATATAAACTGTGTTATAAATACAAGCAGTAAATCTAGAACCGTTAAAGGAAACACTGTACACCAAAATGGGCAAAAGTGGATAAAAACGGGTTACGGTAAACTAAAACTAGCCTTTACGTGAAAAACTAAAAAAAACCGATAGTAGGCTGAGGAAAAACCACGGTTAACTATTAAGTTGGGTGGAACTAAAAAAAGTTATCTACCGAACGTATAGCTCAAAATAGATTCTCGTGATCAGAAATGGCACTTTTTATGCATAAGAACACAAAAAGTTTGAGAAATGCAAATCACTTTAAAGACTGAACTTCCCGTTCGAAAAGCATGCGCTTGAAGTGAATAACCCTAGATTACTTAAATTGACAATATGATTTCGTTTAGATTAAGCAGAAAAAGTAGCATAGATCATTTTTATCACGACTTATAAAGTTCTGGTGGTGCTCAGATGTGTAAATTATGCACAGGATAAAAGCTCTTAATAATGAGGTGACTTGAATTCTAACAACCAGAGCAACACTATTTATACGTACATGGAACGTCCGGACAATGTGGGAAACAGGAAAGACCAGCCAAATAGCAATGGAAATGAGGAGATACAACTTGGCAGTACTCGGAATCAGCGAAACCCATTGGACACAAACTGGACAACAAAGGCTAGGTACAGGAGAGATGCTGCTGTACTCCGGTCACGAAGGGGAAAATGCGCCACACACTCAGGGAGTTGCTCTAATGCTGTCCAAAGAAGCACGAAATGCACTTGTGGGATGGGAATCTCATGGACCCAGGATAATCAAAGCATCATTCAGAACAAAGAAGCAAGGGATCACAATGAATGTTATCCAATGTTATGCACCCACCAATGATAGCAACGACGATGATAAAGATCAGTTCTATGAAAGGCTGCAATCAATTATGGAGAAGTGCTCACGAAAGGACCTCACCATCCTTATGGGAGATCTAAATGCTAAAGTTGGAGTGGACAACACAGGATATGAAGATGTAATTGGACGACATGGACTAGGAGAGAGAAATGAAAATGGGGAGAGACTTGCAAACCTATGTGCTTTCAACAAATTGGTTATAGGCGGCACAATATTCCCACACAAACGCATACACACAGCTACATGGATCTCACCGGACCACACCACAGAGAACCAGATTGATCACATCTGTATCAACAAAAAATTCCGAAGATCAATGGAAGATGTGAGAACCCGGAGAGGAGCTGACATAGCTTCAGATCACCACCTGGTTGTGGCCAAGATGAGACTGAAGCTTAAGAAAGACTGGACAACTGGACAAACAGCACTACAAAGGTTTAATACGGCCTTCCTTTGAGATACTGACAAACTCCATGAATTCAAGATAACTCTCAACAACAGGTTCCAAGCTCTACAGGATCTACTGAAAGAACAAGAAACTACTTTGGAGGACAACTGGAAAGGGATAAAAGAAGCACTAACTTCAACGTGTCAGGAGGTTCTTGGTCCTAAGAAGCACCATCACAAGGAATGGATCTCTATGGGAACCCTGGACAAACCTCAAGAAAGGAAGAACAAGAAACTAGCAATTAACAACAGCCGAACACGAGCAGAGAAAGTCAAAGCACAAGCAGACTACGCAGAAGCAAACAGAGAAGTGAAGAAAAGCATTAAAGCCGACAAGCAGAAATACATGGGAGAACTAGCAACGGCGGCGGAAAAAGCTGCAAGAGAAGGGAATATGAAACAACTATATGATACAATGAAGAAATTGGCAGGGAAATATAGCAAACCAGAGAGACCAGTCAAAGACAAAGAAGGAAAGACAATCACTGAGATTCAGGAACAGAGGAAAAGATGGGCAGAATACTTTGAGGAACTGCTGAATAGACCAGCCCCATCGAATCCACCGAACATCGAAGCAGCCCACACAGACCTTCCAATAGATGTCACTCCACCAA